ATTCATTAAACTTTGTTGAAATTGGGCTGAAGTTTCATTTAAATTAGAAATAGACCCGGATGTACGGTTCCCACCCGTACACCCGGGTGTAGGATATACGAACTCGTTATCCTTGGCCCCGCCTATACACTCGCTAGGATACTACTAGTTATCGGTTGTAACTAGTAGTGTTTATCTCTTTGTAACTGTCTATCTATTTTCTCTCCTAGATATTAGATTAGCATGTACTTTGTATCTCTATTAATACTCTGTACACATCAATTAATCAATTCAACAACCCTTTACATAGTCTAGCCAGCTCTTTTTAGAAGTAGAGTTCCTTTCGTATCAGGACAGCCTGATGGCAAGTTCGTCCGCCCAAAAAGTTTGCAGCCGCCCGATTAAATAGAGTGGCTGAGATTGCTCACTCATTAAAATTAAAATTAAAGTCGGTCCCGCTATATGTCTCCTTTCTCTCTCTGCGCGTAAAACTAAAGAGCTGACTTTCTCTGCAACCCTTATCTCTCCTCTTCATATACTCGTATGTGTCATCTTCATATCTTGCTCTGGCTTTTTTGTTTGGCCTGAAATTTAGCTTCGAAGGTCTCTATCCCAATCTTAACCGCACCATCGAGATATCCGTATTTATCAATGCTTCACGCCATCGAGATCTGAGTGAAAAAAAAACATTCCGACTTCTGTTAAATCAGTTGGTTGGCCGTATGAATTTGAAATGTTTCAGGCTTGAAGCACCAAATCCACTACTCCTTGGATTGTAGTTTCTGAATCCAATTTTTAAACTCGGGTTTTGTTTAGTTTAATATGCTCCGTATGATTTAATGAACAGTGAACCCACTACTTCTAAATTCTTTTAAATGTAGTTTAGGTATGAATTTTTTGAATTTTGCAATTAAAATTCATTTCATATTTATTTACCGGTTATTTACTGTAGTTATTTTCCAATGTTGCAGGGATGCCTTGTAGTGACAATTTCTTTCAGGAATTTACTTGTCTAGCGGTCCAATGAGTTTAGAGAAATCATGTTGGGTATAAAAACGGACTAACGGTCACTGGTCTTACCAAATGCAGATGCTGTATATTAAACAAACAAAAAAAAACAGCCATGGTCAAGTATCAAAGGCCATTTGCAGAGACTTCAAATGAAGTTCCCACATAGAAGCTAAGACTTGTGAAAGTGAAATTGTATAGCAATAGAAGTGTATCAATTATATTTTAGTACTCCGCAGTTTCCATTTTTTGTAATTAATCTACTCATATGCAGAATGCATTAATGTTGTTTAAATCTATTGACATTGATCACATAGTGTAGTACTTGAAACAGATTCATATATGTAGCATATTCATTAGCAGAATACACTGGTGATTATAAATGAGATCTGATTATGTCTGTGTAGTAGCACATTTCCAAAACACCTACTTACTATATACCCAAATACTTCCAAAATGCAGCAATCATAATTCAGGATACAAACACAACTAAGGAAGTTCATAAACAGCATAACAACAATACAATGGAGCTACATATTATAATCTCCCAAAAGATCAAAAGAACAGAGTTACATATTATATTTTCCCAAAAGAACACTACAACGAAGCAACATAATATATCCTCTTCAGTATCCGCCTATGCCGGTTCATCAAATGCTTGGTATCTTGTTTCCCTGCAGAATTAGTAACCCCTTTAACACAAAACTGGAACATGATATATATACTTGTTTCTTATTTAACTTCACAGTTAAATCATGTGTAGTATAAAAAATAGTCATTACCCTTTTGCAAATTTTGGACAATTGCGTTTATCGTGACCATGACCTTTACAAACACTACATAACCGGGTCAGCGAAGGACCCTTTTCCATACTAGATTTTAGTCGTTTGCCACAACCTTTGTGTCGTGCATGGTCAGGCTCCAAATATTCCAAAGTACATGATGTTTGAGTTTCTTGAGTACACGACGTTTTGCAGGCTGACTTTCTGGCCAGGTGGTCATTAAACTTTTCTCGCCACTCTTCAAGTAGATTCAATCCATATTCTTGGTCTTCTGGTGACTCCAATATAAGATCATAATAGCCACTCAGAAACGCATCGTATGCCTTGCTATTCCCCCCCGTCAACTCTCTTTTATGGTCTTCTCTAATCTCATTTCCCTCTTGATCACTGACAATTTGTCTTCTTGGACCCTTTTTCCATCGATCGACAATGTAAAAGTTTGGGAGTTCATATATTTTCATACAATCGAGAACCCTTAATATATGTGCACATGGTATTCCCATAAACTCAAATTGTTTGCAAGAACAACTTGCAATTTGTGTGAAACGGTTGATCGTCACTAACCGACTTTTTTTTATATCGATTTCATTTGATAGACCTCCATAAGTTAATTTGAAAATAGAAACATCCCCCTTTATGTTCTCATCCACATTATAAGTGAAACAATTATGTAGCCCTATTTGGAACTCACGAAACATACTTGATGTATACGTGTTTGCAACTTGTAGCTCCATTTGAGTCCCATACTGAAGTTTAGGGCGCCCATTTGTATCCTTGTGATCAGATTGGTTCTCACGCTCTCTTTGCCTTGAGAGTGCTCTGTCAAAACGTGTTACAAACTCGTTGAAACTACATCCTTTGTACACAAATTTCTTTAGGAACGAATGTGTTGTTTCACTCCTTTGAGTAGATGACATAGCGGCTGCAAAAATATTCTTGAAGTAAGCAGGAACCCAATGCTCTCGAACTTTAAACATGTAAGAAAGCCATTCATTTTCTCCCAACCCAACTTCATCCAAAAGACTTTTCCATTCTGCTTCAAACTCATAGGGTGTCTCAGAGTATTTAATGATGCAATAAATTCTGTTGAAATTGTCCAACGAGTTTATTAAACCACTCACCTTCTCTGGAATCTTACGAATAATGTGCCACATGCAATAGCGATGATAGGTGTTTGGTAGCGCACAACTAATAGCTTTGGTCAAAGCTGGATCTTGATCAGTGATGATAACCTTTGGTGGTGGTCCTGGCATGGCTTCTAAAAATGCTTCTAAGATCCAAAGGTAAGATTCAAAATTTTCTTTGTTCATGAATGCACAACCAAATAGAATGGATTGAAAATGATGATTTACTCCAACGAATGGCGCAAACGGAAAGCCGTATGTGTTGGTGTTGTACGTTGAATCAACAACAATTGTGTCACCAAAGAAGTGATAAGAACGCCGAGAAGTTGGATCAGCCCAAAATGCCAATTCAATTTTGTTTGCACTATCTTTTCTAACCTTGTAGAAAAATGATGCATTGTGTTCCTTCTCAAGTATGAAATGCTCCACAAATAATTGTGCATCTTGCCCCTTTACTTTCTCATTCTCATCTCGGACGTAGTTTCTTAAATCTGTTTCGAGAAATCCAACGTCAGCCGCACCACCACATTCGGCAATGAATACGCCCATAGCTTGAGGGATTGAGATGTTGCTAGATTGCAAAGTCGCGAAAAGCTTCTTCTTTGCATCAGGTAAATTATGATGTGATTTCAGTAAATGAACCTTGCTTGGTGTTTCACAACAATGATTATGTGCCTCCTCGAAACGGTACACCTTAAACAACACACTTTTTTTTGTTCTAGAAACACCTAGCATGGCCATACAACCAGTGCGAATATTCTGTGTACATCTCTGTGCATCAATTGCAATTGCTGAATTTTTTTCTACACCTTCCTTGTAGCAAGTGTAGACTCTGCCCCTTTCTACACCGGCTTTGGTTTTCTTTAGTGAATCTTTGCGTACACTAAACCCGGCAAGCTTGGCATACGTGTTGTAGAACTGAAATGCGTTTTCTAAGTCTTCAAATGTCATCCCTACAAACGGTTTTTTATCACATGAAACATCTGGGATAATGTGAGCCATTGTCAGCCCACACTCACTTGGCTGCGTTGATAGTTCCATGATTCTGGCGTTTGAAAGACAACATTAAAATTATTAATTCACCCATCAATTCACCTAAAATAGTCACAAATCATTAATATCAAAGCCTTTGATTCCTTAGCATCCGTATACTATACGTAATGAGATGCAAATGTAAAACCTGAAATAACTTAAATTACTCTACGTTTACACGATTTTTAGTTACTGTATATCAAAATTAATTATAGAACAATTCTTCAAGGAAAACAGGATGCACACACTGAAGCATTAATGGATTACAAATACAACAAATTAACTTTAAGTTAAATAATTGATTTTATTTAATTTCAAACAATTCCAAAAAAGCATTAATGGAACTAGCAGTAAAGAGTCTTCTCTTATGCGTGAGTAATAGTGAGTAAAGCAACTTGCGAGAAAACATTCGTGGAAGAAATTTGATACATTAATTTCAACAATTAAAGCTTTATTTAATACCTGCAGACTGCAGTAAACTCCGAAGTAGTAAAGTTACTTCGTACGAAGTATTCCTTTTCCCCCAAATGCAATGTGTGAGTTTCTTCTTTTGTGTTTGAAGACGAAGTCGCGTGCAGAGAGAAAGTCAGCTCTTTAGTTTTACGCGCAGAGAGAGAGAGGAGACATATAGCGGGACCGACTTTAATTTTAATTTTAATGAGTGAGCAATCTCAGCCACTCTATTTAATCGGGCGGATGCAAACATTTTGGGCGGACGAACTTGCCATCAGGCTGTCCTGATACGAAAGGAACTCTCCAGAAGTAATCTCTTTGAAAAACTATTTCATACTAATGTTGGTGTTGTTTTAAGGTTTTGGGCAATCACAAGGTGAGCTAAGGTTTCACTACTTTGAAATGGATACATTATTGGACTAGTGTCTCATAATCTATTTATACGATTTGATGCTTCAAACAAACAAATCTCTAATGGATGATTAATTTATCACTACAGAATAGTGAACCTATACATCTCATAAAATAAACAACTTTATACTACGTATATGAATCCGGAGCATGGCTCATTCATTCAATCAAAAAGATGATTTAATCATTAACTGTAATATAGTAATCTTTACCATGCATTAACACTTCTATTCAGCTGTTTTCATTCATCACATAAAATAAACAACTTTATACGGAGTATTTGAATACGGAGTACTATTTTTAATTCAGACAAATATCTTAATATAGATAGACATTTTAATTTAGAGAAGACTTGATAGAAAATAAGTAGATAATCCATAGTGATAGTCATATAGGGTTACCATGTTTTCATATATGGCCGGCCAGGCCGGGCATTTAAACTTAATTATATAGCTGCTCAAAGCTTGAACGTGGATGGGGAAGTTTATAGCCGAGACGGTAACAGCTGCGGTAGTTTCGACGGGTTCCAAATAATTTGACTAAAAGCCACACGTGAAGTGAAGTCAACATCTTGGTCAAGATGGTTCATAATTGGTCTGGGCAACCCAACCCAAGCTTCAATGCCCCCATCTTCCGCGTCCAATAACAGAGCCAAATCACCCAAATTATTACCCGGACCCAGCCACTTGGGTTTCCCCCACCCAAAGTCAACCTTTAGGCACTCAAACTTGAACCAAGTGCTTATGCAAAGAAACCTCTTTTCTGCTTCTTCTCCTTTGTTATTACTCACACTAGGATCCTCTTTTCTGGCCTCCATTATTGCTCTTATATATCCGCCACCCTCATGCATTTTCCTCACGTAGCCGTCATTCACCTTCATAATGGCTTCTCGAACGCTTCCGATTAGGGACTTGGCGGTGATGGCTCCCGGTCTACCGTCCGCCGCCCATATGGCGGCGGTTATTTGATTGATATTTCCTAGACAGGTGGGAGGGAATGGTGGGTCCATCCTCCTTCGCAGGTCCACCGCGTTCGTTAGAACGTGCGTCTTCAGGTTCGGGGTGACTCGAAGAGTTGCCCTAATCACGGCGGCCCATATGAAAGCCGACAACGCCTCCACCCGAGTCGGGCGGCGGCTGTCAGAGGAAGGAATCTTCTGCATCTCATCTTTTATGCTTTCGATCTCTTTCTTGGAGAAAACAAACCGTTTTCCGATGTATGTTTCGCTGACATGTCTCTGCCGTGCCACTTCAGAGGATATAAGCGCCGGGATGTCGAAGTTTCCCGGAGAGAAAATCAGAGTGGGGTCGACGACGAAATTGCCGTCGTGGTGGTTGGCGGTAGCGGCGGCGGGGCCTTCCCCACGGTTGAACCGCGACCACGTCTGGAGGAGCCCTAAAAGCCCAGACCCGTCGGCGAGAGCGTGCCACAGGCATATCGCCACCGCCGTTCCGCCGCACCGGAACCTGTTGACCTGAACAGCTAGCAAGGGCTGGGAAGGGTCGAAATCGGTCGGGTACGGATCGAGGGGGAAGAGCTGCCGGAGAAGGTCGAGGCGCGGATGCCGAAGGACCTCGGGCAAGTCGCAGTTGGTGACGTTTGCCCGGGAAAAATCGGCGCCGGCGTCGTTGCACACGACGGTGAACTCGTCCTTCTGCCTGCCGGCGAGTGGGTAGCAGAGAGAAAGCGCCTTGGAGAGGGAGAGTTTGAGGCGGTCGTAATCATGGGGAGGAGAGGCGGCGGAGTGGGCGTAGAAGAAGACAATGGGCATGTAAAAAGTGCCGGCAATTTGATCGAGAAGGGAGAGCTTATAGGTGCTTAAGGATTCCGGGGTTGGATAGAGTGGCTTCACGTTTTCCTTCTGATAGACTTCCACTTTCAGCGCCATTTGATTATTCATCATGCTACGCCTTCCTGACACGGATTGTTATATGATAATACCGTGAATGCATGCATGAATGTGATCGATATACAAGTATGTGTGTGTGTGTTTGAAGAACGCTGCATGTAGTATATATATATAGAAAAAATTGCTCTCAGTCGGACCGAAATACGTAGTATAGCATTTTTTTAAATGCAAAATATAACATTTTTAAAAAAATAGAACTATATGATCATTTTGATCATATTTATATAATTATTTTGGTCATTTTTGGTAATTAATATAATTTTCATATTCAAAATACTTTCATATTAAAAAATATCATTGGTCAAAGTTGATTATTATATACTCATTGGACGGCGTATTGATCAAAGCAAACCTTTTTGGGAGGGAGAGAGTAAAATTCACTAAAGCAAATACAACTACTGGGTGAAGAGTTAGCACGATCAGGTTTCCGAACGAAGTAATTCAAACTATTCCTAGGTATGGAAATGAGGCGGGTTCACTCCCCATTCATGGCCCGATGTCTAAAACAACCCCACCTCTGCCCCATCCCCTGTTACTATTTGCCCTGCCCTATCACTCCGTATAAAATAGTTGCAGTGAATAAATTTGTAACTCAACAAATTTATCGTTACTTTTAAACAAAATAAAGGCTTCTTTTTTCAATCAATCTTTATATAATAATGTTATACGAAGTATTTAGCACTAGCACTCCGGTCCGTCGGTGGTCCGGCAACAGTGAAGTGGCCAAGCTAGATTACCTACCGGGATATTTATTTCTAATCAATAATATTTACGAAGTACTTCTATATTAGGGAGATTTTCCAAAATATGACTAATAAATAGAGTTTGAAATTCCAAAATAGGACTATTATGGTTTTCTTCCTGAAATAAGACTAAGATGTTAGTAGTTACTGCCCCAAATAATTATTGTACTATTCATTCAACATGACAATATTTATTACGTAGTATAATTAATGACAATATTTTTCAATCATGACAATATTTTTCAATTATTATAGTAACGACTTATATTTCCTGAAGAATAATATAGTGGTTCTATTTTGGAATTTCCAAAGTTGTTTACTCCTATTTATGGCAAATTTGTCTATATTAAAAGATTTTTAAAGTTTTCCGTAATTTAAGTTTCATTTGCTTATATTTTGAATTATGATTATGAAGAATTACTCCATTGTCTTCCCAAAAAAGAATTAGGATGTTTTCTTTTGGACAGTTTTCAGTCCCAGACCAGACCAGACCAGATCAGACCAGACCAGACTTAAACAGACCAGACCAGACCAGACTTAAACAAACCAGACCAGACCAGACTTGGACAGTTATAAAATACACAGAGACTAGACGTTTACCAGACCAGACCAGTTCAGATCAGACCACACCAGACCAGACTTAAACAAACCAGACCAAACCAAATCAGACCAGACCAACAAATTTCAGTCCAAAAAAACATCCTTACTCCATTGTTTTGTCGATGATAAATGCACAGCGGTAGTACGTACGGAGATTTGTTTCCCTAAAAGGGAAATAATACACGTTCGGAGATTTGTTTTCCTAAAAGGGAAATAATACAACTACTGGCTTTCACCGTATCAGTAGGATCAGGTTTTCGTACAAAGGTATTTAATGCGGAGTAGTTATGAAGTTAGTCAAACTATTCCGTCAAGATTATTAGAGACGGTAGAATACCTGCCTCTGCCGTGCAACTTCGCCGATTTAGGCTATGTTTGGCACAACAAGTTGAAGCTAGAGACTAATGTCTGAATTAGAGGTTATTGTCTGAATTTGAAACTATTTTCTGGAATCGAACTTTGAAGTGCTGAATTTGAATTGCTAGCTGAATTAAGTAGAACCGTTTGGCAAAAAGAGCTGAAAAAGTGCTGAATAATATGAAATTACATAAAAAGGGGGTTCTGTGCACGACTAATTAAAACACAAGGGGGTTTGACGCATTTTTTAAATCACAATGGGCTAATGCGCTGAATTTCCAAATCACAGGGGGGTTTGGTGCATTAAACCCGGCAAAGATAATTTATAGGTTTATTGTAAACTTTTTGAAAAAGTAGTAGTTTTTTCGTACTGTAGCAATACTGTTTATTTTAAAGTGTCCTCTGTAGCTGCTTTTCCGGTGGATGTTCCGGTGACAAGGGTTGTTAAAAACAAAAAAGAAAGATGACCTAGCGGTCGTCTAATTGAGGCACACCTTCCAATATTTTTCTTTTAATTTTTTGGGCTCTTTTGAAAATTGGAGTTACTTTTAACGATCTTTTTCAGACGTTTTTAACGGCATGACCCTCTTGTGATAACGGAATTCAAACACATGAACCACTTTGATAAAGAATGAAACACATGACCCTATCTGGGCTCAACCACAAGTACATTTTTCGTACTTTTCCCATTTAATTTCCACATCGAGAAGTTTTCTTGCTTAGCTGCTCCATATTGCTCTCTCCTCTTCCTTTCCCAGGTCTCATAGTTGAAATATATGAAAATCATTATTGTTGTTTTTGTTTAATATTGATTTTCACTAATTGTTCATAAATAGATGTTGGGAGATGGATTCTTAGATTGTTTTCAAATCTTTGACAAATCAACTCTGTAATTGAACTGTTATTGAACTCGTATGATACGAAGTAATAGGATGGATAGCAATGAAGAGTATAAATTGTACTCCGTATAATACAAAGTTATAAGAAGGTGTAAGAGTTGATTGAGAATGTTGTATAAACTCAAATTTATAATTCCTTGTACTAATCCTACTAGATGATTATCAAATTCGTTGAATTCTTTTTTATTTAGACAGCCTAGAGATGGTAGCTAGAACAATGAGGGTATAATTATAATTATCAAGAGGTTTAATTATATGGTTATATTTGTTTAATTAGACATATATATTTAACACAAATAAACCAATACACTTTATGGTAATTCTACATTCAATCGGTCATTTCAGCCAACATATTACCAAACACTTTCACTTCAACAGATTCAATTTTTTCAGCGTTTTTAGCCTTTTCAGCTGTTGTAGTTGTTACCAAACAGGCCCTCAAATGGGAAGGTTATCTTCCGCAAGAAAATATCAGAATAGATAGATAGCAAATAGAATTGCTAATGATACGTGACAAAATCGAAAACTGATAAACTTTTTTTTCATGCTATGCGATTGTTGAATCGTAGATTACATCAAAATTTTCTTTATACATATTTGAAAGAAGAACATAATTTAAATATCTCAAACTTTGAAGTGATGTAACATAAGTATATATACATGCAATATATGTACCCTAAACTTTATATAAAAAGTTATGCTAGCACCATGACCATATATTTTTCATAAAGGTAATTTATGTTGTTAAGTACAGAGTACATAATTTTAAATACAAAAAACATTTATGAGGATGTGATTAAAATAAATTGTACCGGATGTAATATTATTTATTTCACAAATGAAATTATAGAAAGTTAATTGCATTCTAATAAGGCTTAATGTATTTTAAATTATATAATTACTCCAACAAATTTGTATTTGTAAACAACATATAATCATGGTGTGAAATTAACTTTTATATAAAGTTTGTGATGTGTATATATATATATATATAGAATTTGGATCAAATAAAAAAAAGTCTTAACGTGTAAAATGAGAATTGATCTCAGCCGTCCAAACTGTCGATCTGATGCACATTAACGCCTATCTGATGCACTTTCTAATAGACCTTATTTAATGCACTTTCAGATCAATTCTCTTTTTACACGGTAAGATGTCTTCTCATTTGAACACATCCATATATATATATATATATATATATATATATATATATTGTCGTGCACTATGTCGTGATGTGCACTCAAAATAATAATACAATACAACACTTATACGTAGTATAGCGCAGTAAGGTTCGTATCCACAGGGAAAGGAACACTTCTCTTTTTATAAAATTAGAAATAAGTAACAAGGGGGTTTTTATGATTGATTTGATTTAATTAATTAAATACGAAGATGAACGAGTTATGTGATTTACTTAATAGAGATGAAGACTTGGTTTTGCTTTTATCCACTTAATGAAATGTTCGTCGATCCCGGTTATATCTTTAACTATCTTCCTCTCGAATACTCAATCGAGGAGTATATCCAGTTCATCGAGGGTAGTTATTAATAACGAGATGCGTTCATTAATAAAACTTATTATCGAGTCAATATAGAACAAGCGCCCTATATTAACTTGATAGTAGCAATAAACTTAAAATGAAAACGATTGAGATTGATAACCTCAACACAAGTGGTTTATTGGTTTAATCAATATAATTAATTCCCCTTTGCTTATTAATCGTGAGAAGCATGGATTAACAACCCAAGTTTACTACCATTGAAAGAACCGAATTAATAACAAGCGTATTAACCGATTGATTCTAGTAATAATTAATATATGAAACAAAACTAGTTGATCCTTTAAGTAATGTTCAAAATATTAATATGAAATATGAATAGGAATTATTTAATGCTCAAGGAAGAATATTAAAGAGAATAACTCACAACTTACAAATTCATTAAGCTTCAAAGTAGCAAAACCAAGATGGAAGAGTTTAGCTCCTCATTTGGAGACTAAACATGCTATAAAAATATAAAAGAAATACTATTCTAAACTGAGCTTAAGAGTATATAGGAATTGGTGATTAAATGGGAAGGAAAGGGGGTGTATTTATAGGTGTTTGGAGCTGCCAGGGCCATTTACCCGACCGGGTTTTTGAGAAACCCGATCGGGTTTCCTGAGAAATTGCCCGGAATCTTCATTTGTCACATCTTACCCGATCGGGTAAAAGACAAATCTTTGCCATCTTCACCATGCACGTTAAATTGCCTCCAAATCAGATTTGATCTTCGAATCAAGTCAATACCCGATCGGGTATATGCTTTACCCGATCGGGGTAAATGACTTTTTCCCCAAATTTTCACTTGATCTTGTTCCCTTGCACTTTCCTTCACCTTTCAAAGGATCCTTTTGATGATCTTTACCTAGTTAAAGCTCAGAATAATTCTAATCTATACAAATTACAAACAAATAAGAAAAAATAAAGTATTACACCAAAA